AGAGGCAGGGGTGGTAGGTGGTAGGAGGAGGAAAGAGGAAGGAGTGAGCGACGCGGGGCGCTGTCTCTTCAAAACGAGGACCCAACACCACAGGATGGTTGGGACAACATGTGAATATCATGGTTTGATGGTCATGCTCCTGCGCCGACCCTCCTGGCCAAGCTTTGTGGGTGAACGATGACGGTGATGGTGATGGTGGTGGTGGTGGTGGTGATGATGATGATGATGATGATGATGAGGAAGAGGAGGAGGAGGAGGAGGAGGAGGAGGAGGAGGGGGAGAGAGAGAGAGAGAGCGAGAGAACGCTTCGATGCGGCAAGGGAGGGCGTTGGGGGATGGCCATGTGTACGTACAACCATGCATACACATATCGATGCGTATGGTTACGCCGCTATATGAATACATATGTATACACACACCGAGAGAGAGATACATCGTTGTATATATGTTTTATCTATATCATAATGAGGGGTCGAACGGATATTCATTGTACCTGGGTGCTTTGTTTGTTGGATCGCTGGTTGGTTGGTGTGTTGGCTTGTTTGTTTGGTTGGTTGTTTGTTTATTTGTTGTTGTTGTTGAACATTATTTCTTCTTAAGAATAATTATTGTTGGGACCCCTGGTGCGCGACCCCCCCGCCGCGCCTAGGCCGCAGCCTCATTTTCATCATTTTCGTGAGGAAGTCTCAGGTAAAACGATGTCATCCAGATCCGGTTGTGTTGTTACGATCGGTTTTCCCTTGCAAAAAATAAGCTAAAGTGGACATTTCTTGTTCTAACATAACCAAACTTCAAGAATCCCTTGCAAAAAATAAGGTAAAGTGGACATTCGCGCGCGCAAGACGAAATCCTTCCAAAACCTTAGTTTTCGTAGCGATTTTAACATAAAAACATCAAAAAACCAATGGTTTTTCAAACAAAAAATGTCAAAATTTCATCCCGCGCGCTCTTGCGGATTCGTAGGAAACCCAACACTTTTTAAACATTTCTGTCAAACGGGCTTTTGCGAGCAACTTTTTCGAACTTCTGCAACAACGGTTGCGCACCTGCCAGGGCCATCATCCCTGTCAAATAATACCATGCGGGACACATTCGTTTTTTCTTCGCGCGCGCACGCCGTCGTCGTCGGCCGCGGGGCCCTGAATAGTAGCCACGGTCGTCCGCATGCCACGAAGTGAAGTGTCCGAACGTCATAGGGCGGGAAGCTGGGTGTGGGTGGTGGCGAAGAGTCGTTTGGAAATTTGGTAGAGCTTGAACCGGCCCCCCCACAAAGTGGGGGTATTGCCCGCCTCCTATGAAAACCCTGGCACTGGTGAGAACGGTGTGTCCCCACGTGCTAGTAATTGTTGTTGTTGTTGTCGTTGTTTGGCGTCGTCCCCCCCGCGACCCAGTCCGCGATCCACCCGCGACCCACCCGCGACCCACCCGCGACCCGGCCCACGACCCACCCGCGACCCACCCGCGACCCACCCGCGACCCACCCGCGACCCACCCACGACCCACCCCGCGACCCACCCACACTGCTTCAACGAAAATTAGGCGCCTGCGGCGGGCTCGTTGGCTAATTTGTAAAAATAGGAGCCTGCCGCGGGCTTCTTCAGAGCCCGCCACCCCCTCACTCTTATCCGCGACTGCGAATTCGTAGCAACCCGCAGTCGCGGATAGGAGTGAGGCGCCGGCCGGGACTTCGGCAGTCTGCGAGGCTCTGAAGAAGCCCGCTGCAGGCGCTTAGTTTTCACAAATTATATAACGAGCCCGCCGGAGGCGCTTATTTTTCGTTAAAGCAATATGGGTGGGTCGCGGGGTTGGTTGCGGGTAAGTCGCGGGCCAGGTCGCGGGCCAGGTCGCGGGTGGGTCGCGGGCCGGGTCGCGGGGGGACGATGCCAAACAACAAAAAACAAATACACAAACAACCAACCAAACAAACACACAAACAAACAAACAGCAGCATAAACAACGAAAGAAAACATTCAAGAACAATAACAACAACAATCATTATCATTTTGTTCGCTCCTACTTGCCCGTGTGACATTCATAACAAGTTCCCCACACCCTCGATACCCGCCCTCTTTGTCTTCTATCACACCCCCTCTGGGGGGATTATTTCTTTTTGCTGGGGGCGGCGGGCTTAGACAGGCGGGCCAACCTGAACGGGCGGACAATCCTTCGTGGGCGTAAATGTGCCCGCCATTGGAAATGGTGTGGGCACAGCAAAAGGAGGAGGGGGAGAACGAGGGAGAGTGGGAGGAAGGGAGGGGGAGGGACGAAGGAAGAGAGAAAACGCCAGGAGAGAAGGAGCGAAGAGGGGGTGGTTGATTAGAGGCAGAGAGAGAGAGAGAGAAAGACCGATAAGAGAGGTAGAGAGAAAGAGAGAGGGGAGAGAGAGAGAGAGAGAGAGAAAGAAATACAGAAAGAGGGAGGGAGGAGGCAGGAGAGGGGAGGGAGAAGGGAGGAGGGAGAGGAGGGAGAGGGGATAGGGCAGAGAGGCATAAGGATGAGGGAAGAGAGGAGGGAGCGAGAAGGGAGGAGAGGAGGGAGGAGGGAGGAGGGAGAGGGAGGAGGAGCAGGAAGGTAAGAGCGTGAACGTTCGAGGAAGTCCTAGGCGAAAACGCCATTCCTGAAGGAAGTCTCGGGCGGGAGCCCACGACGGGCGGGCGATCCCCTAACGGGCGGGTCGGGCGGGTGGGACATGCAAGCGGGATGCCTGAGTATGGCGGGAGCGCGATTCCTAAGTAAATTGTGACGGCGTTCTTGACGCAGCGTGTTCCCTGAGCGTCGAAAGCGCGATTTCAGAATAAATTGCATGGCAGTCACCAGCGAAAGCGCAATTCCTGAATCAAATGTAAGGGGTACTCTGGCGGGAGCGGGGGTCTTGATTCAATTGCTAGGAAGTCTTGACTCAATTGCGAGGAAGTCTCAAGCGGGAGCGCCGTTCCTGAGTAAATTGTGAGGACGTCTCAGATGGGAGCGGGAGTCCTGACGAAATTGCGAGGAACTCACAGGCGGGAGCACTGATCCTGAGTAAATTGCAAGGAGTTCTTAGGCGGGAGCAGGGGTCCTGAGTAAATTTGGAGGAAGTCTCAGGCGGGAGCCGTTGTTGTTGTCGTTGTTGTTGTAATCTGGGGGGCCAGGGGCGCAGTTTGAGCATCAAGACTTTCCCTGTCCCAAAAAACAGGGTTCGAGCGTCGAGGGGCACACTTTGATTGAGAAAAAAGTGTGCACCGGTGAGGGGGGATCAACAATACTTATTTTTCAGAAGTGAGAGTTCAGCAATCACGACAACAACAACAACAACCACAACAACAACAACAACAGCAGCAGCAGCAACAACAACAACAACAACAATAACAAAAACAAGAACAATAGTCAACATCGCGGAAGCCCACTTCAGCCACGAACCCAGGGACAATGAATGACCGTTCGGCCCCCTCACTCTGAAACACAAGCATACACACCCGTCTACGAGGCCCAGGGGCCCAGGGCCCCGGGCCCGACAGCGCATGGGGGAGCCCGGGCCCTCAGAGGTACACAAGACCGTCCCGGAGAGCTCCGACTCGCCCCAGAGCCGACGGAAGATCACTTCCAGACGCCCGTGATCGCCACCAGATGGCCCACAACGCTCCCAAAGCGCTCCACGGAGGCTTCCAGCACGCATCCCAGACGCTCCAAGAGGGTTCCCAGACTCCAGGCCTCCTATATGGGGTCGTAGTACATGGGGTCGGAGGATCGCGCCGCATCGCCGATGCGGCTCGATGTGCAGCCCGATTTGCTTCACGTCGACGTCGCCGATGCATCGCCGACGTCGACGGTGCATCGCCGGTGCATCGCCGATGCATCGCCGATGCATCGCCCAAGAGGCCTCTACAGACGCCCTCTGAGCGGGCCCCAAAAAGGCTGTAGCCATCTTGGCTCCGGGAGGCCCTCGTGGCGCAGGGCGCCGCCCTGGCGGTCCTCCCAGCGTTAAGTCGGGCGTGTCCCCCTACAGGAGGAATCTTCCAAAAGAGTCACACAATAGCCTGGGGACGACTTTTCTCCTACCTTTGTTTCTCTTTGAGCATGTGCTGACTGTTTTTCGTGCTGGGGGTCACACATCCCCCTGCAGGAGGACACGCCCGACCTAATCCCAGCGATGAGGCCCTGGGCGGCGGCAGCCGTCCTGGCGCACCGGCCCCTCGCCGTGGCCGCGCTGCCCCGCGCGGCTCCGGCCGCCGGCGCCGTGCGGCCGGGGGGCGGCGTGCCCGCGGCGCTCGCGGACGCGGACGGCGACGGCGTGCTCAGCGCGCCCGAGCTCCTCGCGGCGGCGGCCGAGCTCGGCCTAGACATCTCGGAGAAGAGAAAGGGCCAGAAACAGAAGCTTAAATCGGGCCTGTTCCTTTACAGGGGGAGTACGCATACCATGATATCAAAAAAAACGTCAGGGGACGATGTTTAAAAGTTTTTGACATAGTTTCGCATATGTTTTTGCTCTTCTTATTGTTTCGCCAAAAATCTGCCTGTAGGAGTACATGCCCGACCTAAACATAACTTTTGGCGCTCCGCGCGGATTCCTTGGACCCGCGCTGCGCCCCCCCCATCGGCGCCTCCAGCGCCGCTCCTGGCGCGCTCCGCGCGCCAGGGAGAGGGGGCCCGGCGCAGATCCGAGAAGCCCGCGCGGACCTGAATCAGGCGACCGCAAACGTGGATCAAGGGGACGTGGATTAGCGACAGGTCCCGTTTCCACGGGAGCTCACGGATTCCGGCCGCCGAACGCTGCGGCACCGGCCGCATTTTGGGGAGGGCACCTCCCCCGATCCATGGGTCTGGCGACCGCGCGCCAGATCCATGGATCGCTCATCCATGCCCGCGCGCCCCCGACTGGAGCAGCTTATGCTTATTCGAGTAAGGGATCGACTACACAATTGATTTGCCCCAGAATTGATTTTTCTTGCCGACTCCACGGGCAATTCGTAGAACCTCCGCAGATCTACGAATGCTTGACGTATTTCTGTTGCAGAGTCGGCGCGAAAATCAATCTTGGGGCAAAGCAATTCTGTAGCCGAACCCCCAGTCGACTTATGCCCTTTTTCTCTCCCTCTCGCATCGGCGCCGCGCGGAGCCTGGCGAGAGGGCCCTCCACGACGAGGCAAGGCGGCCCGGCGCCCGCGGGCGCGGGCGCCCCGGGGGCACTTGCCGCCCCCGAGCCCGCCGCGGGCCCGGAGCAGAGCTTCGAGCGGGTGCCCGCCGTGGAGGTCGGTGCGGACGCCGCCTACGTGGACTGCCCGTGCTTCGGGGGTGGACAGAACTTACCAGCCTCGAACGTATCCCTATCCTTAAGATTGGCATGCCAAAAGGCGATGACAATCTTAGGGATTCGCCCTCAAGAAATAGGGAATCCCTAAGATTGGCATCGAGATGAGGAGGTCCCCAGCATAGGGATAGGGATATGTTCCAGGCTGGTAAAGAACCCCCAACAGTGACCCGTCGATTCGTGAAGTGTCTGTCTTCGGTTCTCGAGAGGGCGCCGCGGCCTTCATTTTCCAGGCCTGCGCCCGCCAGGTTTGGGCCTCAGGTCGTTCTCACTAAACCGCGTTTTATTAAAGGGGGGTCTGTCCATCCCCGAGTGCTCGGCCACGCGCACGCGTGGCCCGTCGGCGGAGGGGCCTTTCGGTGCGGGCTCGTCGGGGTCCGCCGCCCGTTTAGGGCTCAGGGTTTAGGGTTTAGGGTCTAGGGTCTACTAGGCGTGGCCACGAGTACACCTGGACCGCGAACCCACCTGCGGTGGCCGTCACTCCCACCCGCACGCCACCCCACCATGAAGATCATCTCTCCCCTCGTTAGAACCGCATCGAATACAGCGTCGACGACGACGACGACGACGACGGCGACGACGGATGTGCGATCCAGTTGGCACGCGAGTGCTGTAACGGGCGGGACGAGTCGGGTCGGGCGGAAGAGGTTCTGCACGCATGCGCAGGAAACGCTAGTCGGTGGAAGAGGTGGATCGGGTCGCAACGGAAGGCACTTTGTATTGTAAAATACAGGAGATTCTGCACGCATGCGCAGGACGTGCTATTATTTGCAGTAGATGGAAGGGGTTTACATAAGAGGGGCGCACTTTGTGTTGTAAAAAATAAGAGATTCTGCACGCATGCGCAGGAAGTGTTTTTTTTGCAGTACATGGGGCCGGGTCGCGACGGGGACTGGGCACTTTGTATTTCAAACAATAAAAGATTCTGCACGCATGCGCAGGAAATGCTATTTTTTGCTGTAGCTGATGCCGGGCCGCGACGGGGGCTGGGCACTTTCTGTTGTAAAAAATATGAGATTCTGCACGCATGCTCAGGAAATACAATTTTTTACAATAGATGGAGCGGGTTTGCATACGGACTGGTTTTAGGTTGTTCAGGGTTTAATAATTATAGGATCAAGAATTTAGGGTTTAGGGGTTAAGGTCTACTAGGCGTGGCCACGAGTACACCTGGACCGCGAACCCACCTGCGGTGGCCGTCACTCCCACCCGCACGCCACCCCACCATAAAAATCATCTCTCCCCTCGGTATAACCACAGCGAGTGCAACGTCGACGACGCCGACGACGACGACGACGGCAACGACGGATGTACGATCCAGTTGGCACGCGAGTGCTCTAACGGGGTAAAGATTGTGCACGCATGCGCAGGAAGCGCGAGGTTGTCCAGGAGATGGAGCTGGTGTACATAAGGGGGTCGCATTTTGCATGGTAAAATACAGGAGATTCTGCACGCATGCTCAGGAGGGAGCATGCTCAGGATCAGCAAATGTTATTTTTTGCAGTAGATGGAGCGGGTTTACATAACGGGGTTGCAACGGGGACTGGGCACTTTGTGTTGTAAAAAACAAAAAATTCTGCACGCATGCGCAGGAAATTAAATTTTTTGCATAGGATGGAGGCGGAACGCGACGGGGGCTGGGCACTTTGTGCTGTAAACAATAAGAGATTCTGCACGCATGCTCAGGACATGTTATTTTTTGCAGTAGATGGAGCCGGGTTGCATACGGACCGCTTTTACAATAATTCGGATTTAATGATTATAGGATTAAGAATTTAGGGTTTGGGGTTTAGGCTTTAGGGACATAGGGTTTAGGGTTTTAGGGTTTAGGGCGCGACAGCGGCTGCTTGCGCGCTCGGGTTTGGCCACCCTGCGCCCCCCTGAGCCCGCGCACCAGAGGGCCACTCCTGCTCGGGGCCACTCCTGCGTGCAGCCGACCGTGCGTCGACCACGTGGGCAACGCCACTTGGGCCGCGGTGGTGGCCCCCTTTGTGGACGGGGGGGCCCTGCGCGCGGACGGCGCGAGCCTGCCGAGGAACTACGGCAGCTCGGAGTGCCGAGCGTGGGACAGGCGCTCGGGGCACTGGGGCATCTGCAGCAGGAGGCCACCGCCGCCGTAGTTCGGGAGAGCGTAAGACTCGAGGAGGCCGGGATCCGGGCCTGCCGGCGTTTTTGGACGAGCGCGTCCTGGATTTTGACGGTCCGATCTTCGTGGGATGGCTGCAGCGGGAACTCGCGCCAATTTTCGGATAAGGTCTCGTCCTCGATGGCCCCGTCAGGCCAACCCGAGTCCCCCGTACCCGAGTCTTACGTTTCCCCGATTATTGTGGGGAGAAGTGGTGCTTCGTGGACGGGGACAGGTGCGCCCGGCCAGACGTGAAGGAGTCGCTCCACCTGCCGGGGCTGTACTTCTCCTACGCCACCTGCGGCAACCTCGGTTTTTTCAGCGAGGCCTTCGACGTCACCGGCTTCTTGCCGATCTATCTTCCGTACATGCAGCTTTCTTCTCATGGGAAGCCCGTTGGTTATTCGGTGGTGTCAAAATCAAGCGAAACATCGAACAAGGCTTTGAGGGCGATGCTGATGATGGGCTCTTACGTGCTTGAAGTAATGGGGGTGCCGGACAAGGAGGTCTGGTACAGGGAGTTGTCGGATGAGTCACTCAGCCTCGAGTCTGATGAATACACAACTTGTGTTCACGACGTCGCCCTTGCCAATCTAGATATGTGCATCGGCGACTGGTGGCTTACCCAGGAAGCCTCGGATTTGGAAGTTCCATTCGTGCCCGTCTACCACGAGGACATAAAGCTCATATTGAGGAGACAGCCGCTGCGCGACACGTCGTTCGACTCGGCGCTCGCCAAGTTTACGAGCGGTCTGACCCGAGCCATCGAGCCCTTCGAGCCTGACCTGTGGGCCTGCATTCTGGTGACGATGCTCGCCGCGAGCCTCATCATGGCCATAGTCGAGCGGGATCACGGGGCGCCTTTTGCGGTGGGGGAGGCCATCTACTTGGCGTCTGCGAGCTTCGCCTCCTTCGGCAGCGCGTATGAGCCTCGCACGCCGGGCGGCAGGGTCATGGGCCTGGGGATCGCATTCTTCCTCACGGTTGTGGGCGCGTCCTTCACAGCCAACACCGCGCAGTTCTTCATCCAAGTGGCGTCTTCCCGTGTTGAGTACCAGAGCCTGCAGGAGGTGCTGGACGCTGGCAAGAAGGTGTGTGTCGGGGCCGCTGGCCTCAAGAGGGCCCTCCTTGGAAAATATCCGACGCTGCGGGAGCTCGGCGAGGAGGTTGAGCTGCAGGATGGCGAATTCCCCAACATGGAGCTGCACAACTGCTACGGGTGGGTCGGCCCGAAGGACCTGGTGGTCGACGCGTGGCACTCCAATGCCCTTGACAGCTGCGAGTACGAGTTCGTGGGTCATTCGGTTCACCAGTTCTTCATGGGCTACTACGTCACGCCGTCCTTGTTCCACCCGGCGGCATACGCCGTGAGCCTCCTGAGGGGCAACGGCACTTGGTCGCAAATCCACCAGGAGGTCTGGCCCAACGAGGTCACTGGCTGCACATCCGAGGCCCAGGAGGGCCCCATGCGGCTGTCGGCGGAGCACATGTTGGGGCCCAACGCGTTCCTCCTGCTCTGCTGCCTCTTGTCGCTCCTCCTGCACTTTTTCTGCCAGGTTGCCAGGCGAGTGCGGGGGATGGCCTCCCTGGCCGCCGAGTCAGAGGGGTCCTCGTCGGCCGGCAGCTCGGCGGGCGGCACTCCGGCGGACAGTGCAGAAGACACCTGAAGCCATGTCCCGTCACCCCCTTAGGAAGATGTTCCGTCAGCTCGATGGAGGTGTTCACAACACCGGCAAAAGTAGGCTGGCGCGCGCGCGCGAGGAGGAGGACGAGGAGGAGGAGGAGGAGGAGGAGGAGGAGGAGGAGGAGGAGGAGGAGGAGGAGGAGGAGGAGGAGGAGCGCGCGCGGCTGCGCACTCGCGGCGCACCCCAGGTGCGTGCCTGCAGGCGCGTGCCGTGAGCACTTGCCTGTGAATAAGGAGAGAACAAAAACACACAGACACAATTAATCGTCGAATCCCAAGAAAATATGTGAACATATGGGAAACGGGGGGGAAGACGAAAATCCAAAAATTAGCCTGACGAAAGACCCAACCATACGTAGTTGTGAATACCGCAATTGTGGATATACTCTTCGGTGGCGCCCCCGGGCCACGAACCGAGTGAGGGGTGTGCCGAAATGGGGGGGTGGAACCGCATGCGAGCGCAGCCACTGGGGCGCTCGGTGGAGCTCCCTATGGGGCCACGAAACGTGTGAGGGGTGTGCCAGAATGGGGGGTGGAACCGCATGCGGGCGCAGCCACTGGGGCCTTCGGTGGAGCTCCCTATGGGGCCACGAAACGTGTGAGGGGTGTGCCAGAATGGGGGGTGGAACCGCATGCGGGCGCAGCCACTGGGGCCTTCGGTGGAGCTCCCTATGGGGCCACGAAACGTGTGAGGGGTGTGCCAGAATGGGGGGTGGAACCGCATGCGGGCGCAGCCACTGGGGCCTTCGGTGGAGCTCCCTATGGGGCCACGAAACGTGTGAGGGGTGTGCCAGAATGGGGGGTGGAACCGCATGCGGGCGCAGCCACTGGGGCCTTCGGTGGAGCTCCCTATGGGGCCACGAAACGTGTGAGGGGTGTGCCAGAATGGGGGTGGAACCGCATGCGGGCGCAGCCACTGGGGCCTTCGGTGGAGCTCCCTATGGGGCCACGAAACGTGTGAGGGGTGTGCCAGAATGGGGGGTGGAACCGCATGCGGGCGCAGCCACTGGGGCCTTCGGTGGAGCTCCCTATGGGGCCACGAAACGTGTGAGGGGTGTGCCAGAATGGGGGGTGGAACCGCATGCGGGCGCAGCCACTGGGGCCTTCGGTGGAGCTCCCTATGGGGCCACGAAACGTGTGAGGGGTGTGCCAGAATGGGGGGTGGAACCGCATGCGGGCGCAGCCACTGGGGCCTTCGGTGGAGCTCCCTATGGGGCCACGAAACGTGTGAGGGGTGTGCCAGAATGGGGGGGAACCGCATGCGGGCGCAGCCACTGGGGCCTTCGGTGGAGCTCCCTATGGGGCCACGAAACGTGTGAGGGGTGTGCCAGAATGGGGGGTGGAACCGCATGCGGGCGCAGCCACTGGGGCCTTCGGTGGAGCTCCCTATGGGGCCACGAAACGTGTGAGGGGTGTGCCAGAATGGGGGGTGGAACCGCATGCGGGCGCAGCCACTGGGGCCTTCGGTGGAGCTCCCTATGGGGCCACGAAACGTGTGAGGGGTGTGCCAGAATGGGGGTGGAACCGCATGCGGGCGCAGCCACTGGGGCCTTCGGTGGATGCTCCCTATGGGGCCACGAAACGTGTGAGGGGTGTGCCGCATGGGGCGGGGGCCTTCGGTGGAGCTCCCTATGGGGCCACGCGTGTGATGCCAGAATGGCCGCATGCGGGCGCAGCCACTGGGGCCTTCGGTGGAGCTCCCTATGGGGCCACGAAACGTGTGAGGGGTGTGCCAGAATGGGGGGTGGAACCGCATGCGGGCGCAGCCACTGGGGCCTTCGGTGGAGCTCCCTATGGGGCCACGAAACGTGTGAGGGGTGTGCCAGAATGGGTGTGGGAGGGGGAGGAGGGGGGAGGAAGGGGAGGAGGAGGAAGGAGGAAGGAGGAAGGAGGAAGGAACGCGGGGACCGTCTCTTCAAAACGAGGACCCAACAACACAGGTTGGTTGGGAAATATTGAAAGATATGGGGAATCCTGGGATTTTGTCTGTATTCATTTGTGTATCTCTGGGTCCCTTCAGTGAACGGCGTGCGCGCGAGCCCGGCGCGCGGAGGGGGGATTGGGCTGTGGATCGTTGCCTGGCCAGAGGTGGTGGCTCGAGGACGCACTACGTATGACTTGTCGCCACTCCCTTCGGGCCAGACGAAAGGGGGGGATAGGGAAAGGGGGGTTTACGGCTCAGTCTGGCGTGTCCCTCTGCATGGGGGAAATTCAAAAATAGTCAAAAATAGTATGGGGACGATTTTTTAAAATGAAAGTATGCTTTGAATATGTTTTGGGTATTTTGTTCTTTGTCGCCCACAATCCCCCTGTAGGGGGACATGCCCGACCTAAGGATAGGGAAAGGGGGGGGTACGAAATCTGCTGCGTACAGCTGGTTTCAGCCCCACCGATAGGCCCATGCCTCGATACATTGCCGCCTCCAGCGCTAGGAAAGTCAGCTACGTGAGCTGATTCTCAAACCCCTCTTTTGTTATCCCCCCCTTTTCGCCTGGCCCAATCCCTCCCCAGGGCTCATTTCGATTCTTCCGAGTCGAGTCGACTCGATTTCGATGGCCTCCGATTCCGATCCGATTCGGCTTCGGATTCCGGTGCGGATTCCGATTCCTCCACAGATGCCTACTAGCCTGCCGATTCCTGCCGATTCGACTTCTTCCGACGTGGCTGCCGATTTCCGCCGATCCGATTCATTTCGATCGCCGATCCGACGTGTCGATTCGATTCTGAGTTCTCCTGCCTCCCTCATCCCTCGGGGCGAGCCGGCGTAACAATCGCCCCGGCAGGCGGGAGCATGATGGAAGGAGGTTGTTGCTTGAAGACTTGCACTGCAGACGTGTCCAAACCCCACCCAAAAAAGGGGGCCCAAGAGGCAAGCCCATGCTGCCCAGGAGGCCCCACAGTCGCCCCAAGACACCTCCAGGACAGCCCACAAAGGCTACGAATCGCTAAGAAATCATTCGCAGACGCTCACCACGCCCCCCAGGTGGCTCACAACGATCCCAAGGCGCTCCTCGAAGGCTTCCAGACAGTCCGCAACGCCCCCAAAACGCTCCAAGAGGGTTCAAGGCGCCCCCGAGGAGGGCCCCAAGAGCCAACAATCGATGATGTTTCATTCCCAACCATCCTGTGGTGTTGGGTCCTCGCTCTGAGGAGACAGCGCCCCGAGGCACCTCCTCCTCCTCACTCCTCCTGCCAGCCTCCTCCTCCTCCGCGAGGTACTGGTGATGTGCCAGGAATGGTGTCTGGGGGAACCTGAGTTGTTTTGGCACAGCCGCATGCGGGGACCGCCACCCATTTTGGCACATCCTTCACATGGTTCGTGGCCCCACAGGGAGCTCCACCGAAGGCCCCAGTGGCGCAGGCCGCATGCGGGGACCGCCACCCATTTGGGTACACCCCTCACACGGTTCGTGGCCCCACAGGGAGCTCCACCAAAGGCCCCAGTGGCACAGGCCGCATGCGGGGACCGCCACCCATTTTGGCACACTCCTCACACGGTTCGTGGCCCTACAGGGAGCTCCACCGAAGGCCCCATTGGCACAGGCCGCATGCGGGGACCGCCACCCATTTGGGCACACCCCTCACGCGGCTCGTGGCCCCACAGGGAGCCCCACCGAAGGCACCAGTGGCACAGGCCGCATGCGGGGACCGCCACCCATTTTGGCACACCCTTCGCACGGTTCGTGGCCTCACAGGGAGTTCCACCGAAGGCCCCAGCAGAGGTACAGGCAGCATGTGGGGACCGCCACCCATTTGGGCACACCCTTGACACTGTTTGTTGCCCCGCTGGGAGCTCCACCGAAGGCCCCAGTGGCGCAGGCCGCATGCGGGGACCGCCACCCAGTTGGGCACACCCCTCACACGGTTCGTGGCCCCACAGGGAGCCCCACCGAAGGCCCCAAAGGTACAGGCAGCATGCGGGGACCGCCACCCATTTTGGCACACCCTTCACACGGTTCGTGGCCCCACAGAGAGCTCCACCGAAGGCCCCAGTGACACAGGCCGCATGCGGGGACCGCCACCCATGTGGGCACACCCCTCACACTGTTCGTGGCCCCACAGGGAGCCCCACCGAAGGCCCCAGAGGTACAGGCCGCATGCGGGGACCGCCACCCATTTTGGCACACCCTTCACACGGTTTGTTGCCCCGCTGGGAGCTCCACCGAAGGCCCCAGTGGCACAGGCCGCATGTGGGGACAGCCACCCATTTTGGCACACCCCTCACACGATTCGTGGCCCCACAGGGAGCCCCACCAAAGGCCCCAGAGGTACAGGCCGCATGCGGGGGCCGCCACCCATTTGGGCACACCCTTCACACGGTTCGTGGCCCCACAGGGAGCCCCACCGAAGGCCCCTGAGGTACTGGCCGCATGCGGGGACCGCCACCCATTCTGGAACACCCCTTTCACGGTTCGTGGCCCCACAGGGGGTTCCACCGAAGGCCCCGTAATGAGGTCCCTTTTCTTCGTCCCAGCTGACCTGCGGTATTCACACTTGCATATGGCTGGGTCCTTCGCCAGGTAGTAGGTTTGTAATGGTTTTTAGTGTTTCTGTCTTTTCGCCTTGTCGACGCTCCAAGACAGCCCAACAAGCACAAGAGCACACCCCAAGACCGAATAAGAGGCCTCCAAGAGGGCGCCGATATTGCCCACAACGCACCAAAGACCCAAGATACCTCCAGGACAACAGAAGAAGGCGTCGAATCGCCGGAAAATCATTCGCAGACGCTCACGACGGCCCCCGCGTGGCCCACACCGCCCCCAAGGCGCTTCTCGACGGTTCCCAGACGGCCCACAATGCCCCCAGAACGCTTCCAGACGATTCCCGAATGCCACCAAGACAGCCCCACGGGGCAACATTCACTGGTTTTCCATCGGTTTGTGAAGGTTTTGCGGGCTTCCACCTTTACGGCCCGCCGACGCTCCGAATCAGCCCCAGGAGCACCAACACTCGCCCCGAAACTGTTCCAGAGGCTCCCTAAGAGGGCGCCCATGCTGCCCAAGAAGCCCCAAAGACGCCCCAAGACGCCTCCAGAACAATCCAAAGAGGCACGCGCTCACCCCGACTAGAAGATCCCCGAGACGGCCCAAGAGG